CCGCACCGGGAGCTGCCGGGAGGAGCCGCTGGGAAACGTAGTCCTGGACGAGATAGCCTCCCCCAGAGATAGCCGCCAGCCCGGAGCAGGGTCGGTGCCTGCCCGCAGGCTCCCGGGGCTGCGGGGGATCTCTGCCGCTCCTCCTCACGGCAGGGATGGCCATCACGGCAGCCCGGGACGCTGGGGCACGGGAACGAGCACACAGCCCCCACCGTCTTCCAGGGCTGAGATGCAGCTGCAAACCTATGTAAAAAATTTGCTTGTAAGCAAACAGCTCCATGGCCCTGCTCCTTGGAGAGACGGGCGTGGGGATGTGGTCTGTGCCCCAAGAATATCAGTCTTTCCTTGCAGTCCCTTGGGCAGATCAGACCGAGAGAGCCACACTTGTTCAAACTGGAGAAGGTTCTGGGGAGACCTTAAGCAGCCTTCCACTTCCAGAAGGACTACAGGAGAGCTGGAGGGGGACTTTTAACAAGGATGTGCAGTGATAGGAGGAGGAGGAACGGCTTCAGACTGTCAGAGGGCAGGTTTAGGCTAGATATTCATCACAGAATCACAGAATATCTTGAGTTGGAAGGGACGCACGGGGATCATTAAAATCCAAGACACCCCAAACAATCACCCCATGTGCCTGAGAACATTGTCCAAATACTTCCTGAACTCTGTCAGTCTTGGTGCTCTGATCACTTCCCTGGGGAGCCTGTTGCAGTACGCAAACACCCTCTGGATGAAAAACCTTTCCCTAATATTCAACCTAAACCTTCCCTGATACCGTTCCCTCAGGTCCTGTCACTGGCCACCGGAGAGAAGAGATCATTGTCTGCCCCTCTGCTTCCTCTTGTAGACTGTGATGAGGTCTCCCCTCAGTCTCCCCTTCCCCAGGCTTGAACAAACAAAGTGACCTCAGCTGCTTCCCATATGGCTTTTCCTTTTTTAGGAAGAAATTATTGTGAGGGTGGTGAGACACTGGCACAGTTTGCCCAGGGAGGCTGTTGATGCCCTGTCCCTGGAAGTGCTCAAAGCCAGGTTGGATGGGGCTCTGAACAACTTTGTCTAGTGGAAGGTGTCCCTGTCCTAGGCAGGGGGCTTGGAATGAGGTGACCTTTAAGGTCCTTTACAACTCCATGACATGGCTGCCCAGCCCAGCCCTGGCTGCATGTTTGAGCCATTCCCACTGCTGGCTGCCCCAAAGCCTGGAGTGTGTGATTCCCTCCTGCTGGGGTGCCAGGATGCTGGCCTCAAGGGCTGTCCCTTGCCCCAAGTGTCTGGCAGTCCCACAACCCCCGCCTGGGCTTTTGTCCCAGGTGGTGCCTCTGGGGACCCCACCAGGAAGTGACACTTTCCATTTTGCATTACGCCCGTCTGAGAAGTTGGGCTGGGAAGGGGTTGCCGCTGCCCCTGTGGGCTGCAGAGCAGGAGACCAAGGAAGGGATGGAGGAGGGTGTCATGTATGCCGACCTGCGCTTTCCTGCCACACCAGGTAATGTCCCCCCCAGCTCTCTCGGGGGGTTCTCTGCCCTCCTGCAGCCCCTTGCCTTCCCCAGAAATGTCCTCCCAGACTCGCTCCCCTCACTCCCTCTTTTTGGGTGTCCTCTCTCAAACAGCTCCTCTCCAGCCCTTTTGCAGACTGCCTGCTCTCGGGGTAGGGGGCGGGAGGGGCTCAAGGGCAGGGAATAGCCACTGCACACCCACGCCACAGCACAAATATTTCCCCTCTCTGCTCTCCCCACCAAGCAGTGTGTGCAGAGAGATAATTTCTAGGACAATCAAGCTGCTGCAAAAGGGCTCTCCCCCAGTTTTCCCTGACATCCCACCTGGGATTCACAGTTATTTCCTGGCTCCAGGTTCCCCACTGCTCCTCCCAACCCCTGCCTCCCCTCCCAGTGTTAACTCCTTTTCTCAGCTCCTCAGCAGCGAGTACGCCTGCCCTGGTGCTGGGCAGCCCTCAGTCTGGGTCTCCTCTCCCTGACGCTCCTGTTGGCACAAATCATCCTGGTCAGCCTGAGTTTCCACTGTAAGTACAGCCATCCAGTGCCCAGATCTCTGCAGAGGGGGTCCTGGGGTCAGGGCTGGTGCCATAGCACTTGTGTACTGACAGACTGAGCTGCAGCTTCATGGAGCTGGGCCCTTCTGCGTGGGGCTGAGGGCATTGAGGGTTCTGGGGCAAGCAGGAAAATTGGTGAGGCAAGATACCACCTACGTGGCTGGTAAAGGAAGCTGGGGCGACAGCGTGGGCTTGGGGAAAGCCACTGTATCACATAGCAGTGAAAGAAAGGCGGGAGGGAGAGCGCTGATACTGAAACTGAAAGACAGAAACACTTTCCCTGAAAGCTGTTAGGTGGAGGGCTCCCAAACACAGCAAAATCTGCAAGGACCTTGCAGGCTTGTTGTACCTAAAGCAGGACACACCACACCCACAGCCATGGGGCTGTCCTGTGTGAGAGGACACTGGGTGCTGCTGGGGCCCAGAGGTGCTGGACACATACCTGTGCTCTTCTGCTGTAGATTTAGTGCAACAACAGACGAGCAGTGCACATGGTCTCTGGAGTACAGAGGAGAGCCCCAGCTACGGGAAAGAGACACTGGAAGGTAAGAGATCCTGGCTGGCTCCTGGAGAAGGCTTGGAGAGGGCCTTACTGCTTCTTCCAAGCAGCAGGATCTGTCCATACTCAAGGATGATTCCCTGAGCTCTACCCCTACATATTCCTTTACTGCCTGTCCTCCCGGCTTATGGTGTGGAGAGCTGCCCCAGCACTGCTGAACAGGCTGAACTGCCGGGACCCCTTTAGAAGAGGTGACCCCAGACAGCTCAGTGTTACCTGGGCATGCCACCAGGACCAGGCTCATGGATGCCACCAGCATCCCTGTGTCAGGTGGCATCAGGTTCTGGTGCAGCTGAAACCTTAACTGAGCTCCCAGTGCTTTGGAAACTGTGTTTGTATTAACTCCCAAAAACTGCAGCTCCCTGTTCTGCTCAATGCCAGCATGTTCCTGTAACTAGCCCCTGTTCCCAGGGCTCTGGGGTCGGAAGCTGGTCTCCCAAGTGAGGGCAAGTGCAGAGTGGTCTCTGTGGAGCAGACGTACAGGGTGGGTTGCCCTTGTTGCTGCTGAAATGAGTCACACGGACACAGTTCGAGGTATGGTGAAGGAAAGAGAAAACTTTATTTTTTCTCTCAGTATTTATAGGTTTCTGACCACGACCAGGGATTGGATAGTCAGGTTTCCACCTTCCCAACCGCACTGGCTGTGAGAGATGTCCATCAAAAGGCATCTCTTTAATGGAATGTATAAACACCTATGTTTACAGTTACTTTCCTGGGAAAGTGGCTAAAACTTATAGAAAAACAATATCGAGGGCCTTATTCTTAGGGCAACAGTGCCCTTACTGTCCACTGTCACTCTCCGGGTCCCTTGGGCTGGGGGCTGGTGGCAGCCTCTGCCAGCTGCCCCATCCCACCTGCTGTGTTTCTGGTGTGCAGGGCAATGCCAGTTTTGCCCACTTGGCTGGCTCTGGGATGCAGGGCAGTGCTACTACTTCTCCTCTGCCAAAAAGAGCTGGGAGCAGAGCAGAGAGGATTGCTGCTCCAGAGGGGCACAGCTGGTCACCATCCAAGCCAACACCACTCTGGTAAGTGCACCCAGCCTGGCCTGGCAACTCCCTGAAAGCATTGGGCTGTCCTGGTGACCACCTCACTGTCTCTCAGCAGTCACCCATGCAGAGCATTGTCTCAGCTTCCTGGCCCATGTTCCCAAAGCCTAGCAAAGCCTCCAGGCAGGAAGCTGGCAATGCTGTGCCCATACAGCCCAGCCCCCAGGGGATGTCCCCCCAGGGGCTCATGTGGGTCCTCTCCTGTGCTAGGCTTTCCTGGTGCGCACAGCTAACACGGATGCCTTTCATGTGGGGCTGAAGAAGGATGGCTTCAGGTCTGACTGGAAGTGGCTAGATGGCACAACACCAGAAGGGTGAGGCTATCAGCTTGTTCCCAGCTAGGTGTGCTGAGGGTCCAGCATCAGGGCTCGGGGTGGTGACAGGGACAGGCATGCAGGGATGTGATCAATATTTTAGCCACCTCTTTTCTTCCAAGGAATTCACTGTGGCATTTTAGGGAAGGGGCATTTTTATCAGGGGCCTAACCCTGGCGCCCACACTCTGCCTGGGTGAGGGGCTGCAGGGAATCCCACAAAAGCAGGGTTCCAGTTTGATTGGTGCTGAGCCCTGCTAGGATTGACCTGGGGGTACTTTGATGGGGCTGGGGGCATCAGGACATGTGGCCTAATTGGGAGGAGGCTGACAGGAGACAGTGCTCCATGGGGAGGGTGAACTTTGCCTCCACAGCATTCCTGTGCAGTGTCTGGTCCCTGTCTGCAGAAGTTGCTGATGGGACAGCCTAAGTTCTTCCTGCCCATCCCATCTCAGCCCACTCTCTCCCTTGCAGGATCTTCCCAACCCAGCGCTACACCAGGTCTTTCCAGGCCTGTGGCAGGGTGTCAGGCTTGGGACTTTTAGGTGGCGCCTGCACAGAAGCCCTCAGATGGATCTGCAAGCAGAGTGCAGCGTCTCTACAGTGGCTCCAGTCCTCACCTCCTGCCTTCCTCTGGGGGAACACCACCTACAGCTGTGTGAGGCCCTGATGGCTGTGGTGACCCCCAGCCTGTGCCACCACCCTTGTTCCCTGCCTGACCCCAGTCCATCGGCATTCTCAGGCTCTTCTGCCTCCTGGCCCAGACCTCTTTACCCTCCAAAACTCTGTACTTTGCCAATAAATTCTCCCAACAATTGCAGCTGGCTTTGTGGTATGGTGGGGGTAGGACAGAGGTGCATCCTCCAGCTCTCAGGCTCAGTTGCATCACTGACAAGTAGGAAATTGCATCTGCTGCTCTGTGGCAAGGAGCCAGCATTGAGCCAGCAGCAGTCCAAGTATCACCATGGCCCAACAGCACCGTGAAGCAGCTCCTGTGCAGGCTGGCACAGTCCCTTGAAAATTCTGGGCTTTCTGGTCGAGGTGGTTGCCTGGGGCTTTTGCCTCTTGGGGCATGCTGCTGAGAGACCCTTTGCCTCTGCAGGCCCATGGACTTGGGCTGGGCAGCAGCTTGTTTGCTGGTGCCTGCCCAGTCTGAGGAGATTCCAGCAAACACCCTCACTTTGTTTTGAGGCTGGGTGATGTGTGAGAACCTAAAAGGCCAGCTAGGGCTTGGTTTGGAGTTGCTTGATCCAGAGGCAGTTCTGGTTTCAGTATAAACAACCAGGGTTGTTCCAGCAGCCTGCAGCTCTGGCACAGACCTTGCTGGGACTCCCTCCCAGCACATGCAAAAGACCAAGCCCTCACAGCCACTGCACCCTCTTAGCCTGAGCAGCACTGGGAGGGGGAAGGTGTTGGATGGGGAAGAGTAGCCCTGCTGTAGCCTGTACCCATGGGCTTGGGCTCATCACAGCCTGGGAACCTGAACGCAGAGTATGCTGAGCAGTAGGGAGCTCATTCACCCCCCACCCCCTAAACTGAGAGCATACACAAGAAGAAAACCCACTTTTTGCAAATAAAGCAGCTACTTCTGCTTTTCTGCCTATGAAGATGTGTCTCCATGCAGCATGGTCTTTGCCACACTCTGCCACCTGACCAGAATGGAGAAGGACAGGACTGAGTTCCTGGACTACTGCTGCCCAGCCACCTGCATGGCCCAGAGTGTGGCCTACACTGACCTGCAGTTTGCTGAGGCCCCTGCTCACTGCCCCCATGTGCCTTGCAGACCCCAATGAGGATGACATTCACTACAAGAACCTGCTGCTGGGTCTAGTGCTGACAGTGGCCAGCCTTGGTGAGAACCCAGCTGCGTTCACTGCCACAGGCATACCCCAGCACAGGGTGAGCACTGGTGATGGGACTGTGGGGTGATGCCCATGGGCATTCATCTTGTTGCAGGTTTCCCATGGAGGAGTCTCAGATGTCTTGTTCCACAAAGCCATTTATTCACAGCACAGTAACAGAGAAACAGCTCAAAGCGGTTCCTCTGAGGAGGGATGCCCAGCAAAGGAACCCCTGGGCTTTTATCCCCTCAATGTCTGCTTGTACTCAGACCTTGGTCCTCCTTCTCAGTTCTCTTCTCCTGCCCCCTCTCTGTGTCCATCCACCTTGCTTTTGTCACCCCTCTCCTTGGTTATCCAAAAGGTCAGCAATTCCTAGCTCCTGCTGTCTCTCTCAGTGTCCATGTACCTGTCTGGCACCACTCATCTTCCTGCCCTTTGCTGTCCCAGGCGCTGGCAACTCACAGCCTCTTACCTCAGGCTCTCACCCAGGGCTCAGTCTGCACTTCCATCTGCATCTCTAACTGCACCTTGCAAGCCCAGCTACCTGGAGCAGAGGTACTCCTCAACAAGGGGACATCTGTACCAGCCTTCCAGCTCACCTCTGCTGCCTTCCACTCAGGGTGGTTTGGTGAAGGTAGGTAAGCTGGTGTCATTGCTGTCCCTTTGAGGACTCTGTCAGATTTCCTGGCTGCCCCTTGCCTCTGCCACTATTTGCTGCTGGCTCATGTCTTGCCCTTTCCTATCCCTACATCACCTGTCCGGAGCTGAGCTTTGTTCTCCCACCTCGATACCAGGAAGAAGATGTAACACAACTCCTGAGCATGCAACCATCCGGTATGGAGGTGGATTTACCAAGGGCAGGTGATGCCTGTCTGACCTGCCTGCTGCTGTGGGAACAATGGGTTGTGGATAAGGGGAGAGCAATGGGGGACATTTATCAACCTTTGATGTCTGGCACATGGCTTTTCATGGTCGCCTCACTTGCAAAGTGGGGATATATAAGGTCAGGAGAAGAGAAGAGGGTGGGTGGAAAACCTGAATGGTGTGAGGGGTGCAGTGGGTGTCAATAACGCCCTCGTTCCCCTGGCAATTGCTGAAGGGCTGATCCTGGGGTTTCTGCTCCTTGGAGCTTTCATCAGTGCACTGGATGGCAGGGGGTGGCCTCAGCTGGTTGGGGAGCAATACCAAACCAGTAGTGTGTATACTGGAGGGCACGACTAGGGTACAGAGAAGCCTGGAGAACTGGTTTGATAGGAGTCTGCTGGCACTGGAGTGGGGAAAAGTGCAAATCCTGCAGCTAGGAAGAAAGGAGAAGCCACAGATCAAGATGGGCAAGTGAGCAGCCATGCTGAACCAGCCTGGGGAAACCATGAACCAGAGGCTGGATGGGGTCTGCAGTGTCCTTGTAGTAAAAACTATTACACCGTGGACAGTGCACGCTGGAGCTCAGCTTTAGGAGCAGGGAGGACCTTTGGACTCTCCAGGACAAGGCAGACACAGCAAGCCTTTGTTTTGTGTGATAGCTGAGACTGTAGGGGATCTGCAATCCTGTCCCAGCCTTGCCACGCCATTGGGCTGGCTCCACCAGCCTCCTTCTATGGAAGCTCTCCTAGGAGCTTATGGATGCTAAATCTAAACCACAGTGCCTGTACAAATTACAGGCCGCCTGGCTCCTCGGGCTGCCTGAGAAAATAGCCTGGGAAAAATATGAGAAGGAATTAAAACAATTCTCAAGGACACTAAACAGCCTTGCAGGTGTTGTTTTGCAGTTTTGTTTTCTCTTGCAGGAGAAGGCCAGGGGGGTGATGAGCTCCCCTGACCGATTTTCTTTTCTGTACCTTCCACGTACCAGTCTATAAAACAGGCCTGAAGTAATAAACCAGAGAATTCTCGTGTTGTGACTCCCTTGAGAGTCCGTGTCGTTCTTCCTCGCCGTTCCCAATCGGAGCGACAGGAGCTGCCCTCTCAGTCTGAAACCACAATAAGTTTTCCCTGAAGCCTTTTCCCTCCAGGCTGAACAATCCCAGTTCTCCTCACAGCAGAGGTGCTCCATCCCTCTGATAATCTTGGTGGCCTCCTCTGTGCTGGCTCCAGCAGGTCCCTGTCCCTCCTGTGCAGGGACCCCAGCTCTGGATGCTCCAGCTGGGTCTCAGCAGAGCAGAGCAGAGGGGCAGAATCCCCTCCCTCCCCTGCTGCCCACGGGGCTCTGGATGCAGCCCAGGACATGTTTGTCTCTCTGGGCTGTGAGTGCCATGGCCAGGGCATGTCCAGCCTCTCACCCACAGCACCCCCAGGTCCTTCTGGGCAGGGCTGCTCTGGGTCTGTTCATGCCCAGCCTGTGCTGGTACCGGGGGCTGCTCTCACCCAGGTGCAGCACCAGCACTTGGCCTTGTTCAACCTCATGATGTTCCCATGGGCTGCTCCTCAAGCTTGTCCAGGTCCCTCTGGATGGCTTCCTGTCCTTCAGGTGTGTCCTCATGCCTCAGCTCGGTGTCATCTGCAAACTTGGCAAGGGTGCATGTGATCCCATAGTTCACATTGTTGACAAAAGTACTAAATAACATTGGTCCCAAGGTGGATCCCTGAGGGCCATTATCACTACATTATCACTACATAATCACTACATTATCACTACATTATCACTACATAATCACTACATTATCACTACATTATCACTACATTATCACTAGTGTCCACATCAGGACACTGAGCTACTGACCATTATCTTCTGAATGCAGCTGTCCAACCTTACCCACTGAACAGTTCACCCTCTGAATCCATTTCTCCCAAGTTTAGAGGGGAGCTGAGTTGAAGGCCTTTACAGAAGTCCAGAGAGAAGAGGTGTAGCCCTTCCCCTGTTCACTGATGCAATCACTCCGTTTTAGGCCACTGGGTTGTTTGGGCAGGACTTGTGGTGAAGCCGTGCTGGCTGTTCCAGTGGCACAGCAGGAGCTGCTGAAAACACCGCCTTCCCAAGAGCTTTGTCTCCACAGAAAGGGGACAGCTCAGCTCACCAGACACTCACACACCGTGTTGGTATCTGATGGTTGATGAATGACACGAGAGGGGCTCTTTATGTGGTATTTCAGTGAAGTTTATTAACCTCACACTGAAGGGAACCAGGGACAAAGAACAAGGAGGGGTTCAGGGCTTTATACAACCAGGAAAGGGCGGAGCCTCAGGACTGAGGGCCAATGGGTTGAGGGCACAGGGGCAGTGCAAAGGCATGGTCAAAGGGTAACAACCAATCAGGGTCCAGGGGTGGAGAGACAGGGAACAGGGACCAATAGGGAAGACAGGAACAGAGAACATTCTGGAACTGGGAAGGAGAACAGGGATGAGATAACTTTTGGGGTAGAGACAAGGAGTGATATAACTTGGATGATGTAACTGAGGTGATGTCACTTGGAAACTGGGGTACATAAAACAACAAGGGACTGTGTGAGAATGTTCCTAAACAGGGGTCTCATCCCAGGATATTCCACTCATGGCATCCCCACTAACTCCTGGGATGCAACAGGCTGTCTCAAGTCCACCTTAGCAAAATGGTTGCCAACACATTCCCCTCTCTGCAGAAACACTGAGACAGGGAGGGTCAGCGCTGCTTCTGGGCTCACCCCCACACCCAACTGGGTCCTGGACAGGGATCTCTCATCACCTTCCTTTGGCAGATAAGGTCTCACCACATTTTTAGGGATATTTCCCCCTGGGTGGAAGAGATCTTCCCTTTTCCCCACATTCCCAAGTCTCCCCAGTGCTCCTTCCTCTCTCCCACTGTCTTATCAATGCATCTCCTTTTTTTCATGACCACCTTCATTTGCAGTTCCACTGCACCCCCTTTCTTTTTCCATGGTCTCGGGATTCCCACATTCACCTCCCATTGCCTTAGAGCTCTTCATTACCCTCATTTTCCTCCCATGGTTTCAGTTTCCTCATTCATCTACTCTGTTCTCAAAGTTCCCCAGCACTACCCCATTTC